ATTGAATCAATCATAGCTTATAAATAGATTTCTACTTTATTCAATAATTACAATGGTTTAACTAATGTTACATCTTCTTGACCAACACATGTAATCATTTTTTTAGCAAATGGCCTTTCATTATCATTTTCTTATAATTCCAATTTATCAATAGCTTAAAAGATTTTTGACATATGTCTGTTAATTTTAGCAGGTGAATTACCATTTGAAAGTATATCTAATAAATCATTAACACTAACGAAATAGAATCTAGGGAATGCTCTTCTCTTTGAATCTAAAAATTCATTCAAAGCTTTTTCACAAACTTTCAAATCAGCTTAAATCTTTTCTAATTATTTCAACATATTTGGTTAGGTACAGAATTTCAATATAATTTTAATTTAACAACCAGATTCCATGATTTCTTTCATGCTTTTATCAATTGAAACAAATTATTCAGATTCTTTTGGTAATTCTTTCTTCACTTCTTCTGATTAAATAAATAAATTTTCCAAGAAAGACCATGTCTTTTGTACTTCTGATAATAATTATATGACATCATAAATAGCTCCTAAATCTTATTTCCATTTTTCAACATCTTTTTCAAAGAATTTCACATATTTACTTAATAACATATTATTTATTTATAATTGATGTTCTTCTAAAGTTTCAAAATGTTCATCTAACATCTTTAATGTTCTAATATCAGTATCTTTATGTTTTATTAATTCAAATTAGACATCTTTCCAAAAAGTATCAACTTTAATAATACCTTTCTCCATTTTTAATTCTTATTTTGCTTATTCAGAAATATCTTCTATTTTTTCTCTGTAATCAAATAATTTAAGATTCCAAATAACATCCAATTCCATATCATCACCAATAGCAAAATCTTAATTGACAACAACTTTAACTTCTTTCCAATGTCTACTATCACTTGTATTCATTGCTGGATCTTTCAATTCAGTTAATAATGGAATGAATGTACCCCATTTACGTAAATCTTCATTAATACCTGTGAAGACATTTGATCTTTTATCAATACCCTTCATATCAATTAAGAATTTACGAAGTTTTTTAACTTCATCTTCCATTTCATTTGGATCTATGGTTGCCCATTTGTATCTCTTATAATCTTAGAATTTTTATTCACATTTCTTAATGTGTTCCCATAATAATTAAACAGCTGCAACTTCTTATTTAATGGCATCTAAATTTTTTTAGCAACCAACAACTTCATCTGGGAAATTAAACATTTTAGAATAATATTCATAGTTTTGAAGTGTTTTTGAAAATTTATCAATTTAAGCTTAAACTTCTGCAAATCTCTCTTAAGAATCCTTAATACCTGTTTTGTATTAATAAAATGTCTCTTTTTTGAGTCCTTGTAAATATTCTTTTAATTGTTCTTCAAATTTTTTAATTTTTTCTTTTGTTTTATCAGCTTCTTATTTAACTGGACCACTGATATCCTTTTCAACAGTTTATGATATTTTTAATAAGTTCTTCCATTCTTCTTACATTTTATTAACTTTTTTAATTTCAGTTTCTTTTTTCATATCATGTTTTTCTAATGTTTTTAATATTTATTCATTTTCATCTAACAATAAAAGAATATTTTCTTTTTCATCTGAAATTTTTTTAAGATTTTCCATAACTTCTAATAGACTATTTACATCTTCTTATATATTTTTATCTTTAATATTAATATTATCTCTAGATGTATCAATAAGTTTATTGATTTCTTCATTTTTATGAGTGACATAATTAACTAATTATGGACCTGTATACTGATTATTTTTTGGTCCAAGATTTTCTAAAAATTATGCTTTTTTAGGAGCACCTCTAATTTCATTATATTCTCCTCTTTCATTCTTTAATTTAACATTAACAATGACTTCGCATGGTTCATCAATTTAATATTTAACTGTATATGATCCATCATCATTATCATTAATTGAATATTTAATGTTAGCTTTTTCTTCTAACAATTACAATTTACTTTTTTCTTAAGGTACATCTTCTTCAACTTCTTCATATTCTGACTCTTAATTTTCACCTTCTTCTCCTTCTTATTATATTTTAACTTTTTTTCTTCTAACAATTCTTTTTTTATTTTATTCTTATTCAATTCTTTCTCTTTCTTCTGGATCCATTTATTCTAATTATTATAATCTAATAGCTTCTCTTTATTTTTCTTCTTCTAATTCAGCCATAATATCTGGTCTAGTAATTTCAATATAGAATTCATCTGCACCACTTTCTCTATTTTAATTATTCAAATTTCTAGTTTAAATATAAAACATAGTTTCATTTTTTATAGCATTTTCTCTTAGAACTCCAGGTCCAAACATTAAAGTTTTATCAGCTTTAGAATTTAAGAAGTATGAGTAGAATTGACTCATAATAGTAAAATCTTATCTATCAATACTAACTTTAACTTCAGATTTTCTAGCTCCATGTTTTTCATATGATGGTGTTTCACAAGTTAATTCAGTTGGACTAATAAATACTCCTGGAACATCTTCTTAAGCTTTACCAGAAAAGAATCTAACAACAATATTTTATGAATCTTTAAATCCATCTCCTAAGATTGTAACTTTAGTTCTTCCAGTTAATGGACCTAAACATGGTTTAATAGAATAGATAGCATATGGAGGTCCAACAATAGATGATACATTTAATGCATACATATCATTCATCCATGCATTAGACCATCCTCCAAACATTAATATTCTAGAATCTTATGGATCATAAATTAATGTAGTTGATTCTCTTGTTTTAGGTTTAACTGGTTTTTCTTCTTCTAATTAAACAGGTGACCATTTCTTAGCATCTACATCCAATACAAATGTATCATCTACTAATCTACTTGCTGTTCTATTTCCACCTTCTTCAAAATTTCCAACTTATCCTCCAAAAATGAAATACTTCCAT